CCCGGTGGAGCTGGCCCGGTGACGTTGGAGGGGAACGCAGCCCTCTCGGTGACGAGGCTCGGCCCCCTGTGAGGCATGACGTCACTGTTCAGATACGGCAGCTTTATCCCTGACGTGATGAGTGAACATGCCAGTTTTCCCAGTGAAGCGGCCGACGGCGCCGCCCTGGGAGCCGCGTCAGGCGCACCAGTGTACCTCTCACACATGCCATGTACCTCGCAAATGAGACACGCTTTGATCACGCCCTGTGTAGCTCTGCCTGCCTCTGTCGCCCGGGCTGGGCGCTGGCTGCGGGCCCGCTGACGCCGGGCGCGCGCTGCCGCAGGCTCGCCCGGCCCCGGGTCGACCTCGGCGTCCTCGGTGGTGGACAGCAGCGTCAGTGGTGACTGGGACGTCTGGGACGACGACGACGACTTCATGGTTAACTCGGCGCTCAAGAAGAAGATCGGCAGGATGAGCAAACAGCTGAAAAAGTACGCCCGCCGCCCGTGTGCTCGTTGCGTTTTTTTGTGGGCGCCATCACGTGGGAGTTGTTTCGGTGGAGTGGTGACAGGTGGACGCTAGTTGCTTGGTTGGTGAATGTGGGCGATTTTCGTCAGCTGTCGACTTGTTTGCTTGTTATTCTTATGCGGCGAGTGCGTTGTGAACGTGGTGGTTAGCGACTGCAGCTATTTGAAGAATATCGGGATGATAGTGGCATACCTTGCGCCGCATGCTAAACGCACTGTGCAACACCGATGAAGTTTTGTTGGCGGCGCGTGCACGGTTATATCCGGGGACCGCTGGCCATCTGGAGACAAGTTTGTCCTCCGTTACCTGCCGGACGGTCCTAGAGATGTCGCTGTCTTCGGCAGGAGCACTGCGCAGCTGGCGAGCGTGAAGAAGGAGATGCGCAGCTACAAGGCGCGCGTGGAGGAGCAGTCGCGCACGATTGCCGAGTACACAGCCCGCCTGGACGACCACGACAAGAAGTTTGATGAGAGCGCGCGCAAGTTCACCACAGTGCTGCAGGTGGGCTACTGCGGCGCTGTCGGCTCCCGCGTCCGGGCCTGGGTCCGGATCCGGGTCCGAGCCGGGTCCGGGTCCGGCAGGCTGGATCCGGCCGCTGGGCGAGGTCCGTCGCTGGCTGGTGGACGGTTGTCGTGTTGAGACTAGCCCAAATATGCCCGGTGCTGCATCGCACGCGCAGGGTAGTCTCGTGGTCCCCGTTGCCCACCGGGGGCGGTGGCGTTAAGGCATGCCGCTGCGTTGTGCCGTTGGGTGGGCTGTACATTCAGTTGCATACTATACGTAACTGCTTCTACATATGCTGTTACAGTTACATTCTTTGTTACCAAATTTAAGATCGGTTGATTAGCCTAATGCGAATTGAGCAGCGTTTAATCTGATATGCCGCTGTGCGTCGTACAGGTTGTATGTCACACCATAATGGTAATGGCAGTCGTAACCATATGACGCGATTTGTGAAAAACGTTTCCGCCTGTAGGCCTGGTGCATTCTAAGTGTGCCTAGCTGTCTGTTGGGTTCAAGTAGCATGCTATGACTCATTGTTCGACTCAGCTGAAAATTCCACAGCCTGGTCCAGCCCATCCCTAGAACCCATTGGACGAATCGTCATCAAAATGTGAGAGGTGAAGCGTTAGACACCGTCTGTCTATCGCAGAATGCCCAAGCAGTTTCCGTCCATCCCCTGCAAAACATCTGAGGGCTTCATCTGATCACCTGTTTGACTATGGTGTCACGTGTACCCACGAGCCCGGAACGGCCTTGCATAAATCACCACGGCGGGGCGACTGAAAAGTTGGGCCTAGAGCCTTAGACAACCTTGGGACGAGTGCTAATACGTGGGGTTGAAAGTACAAGACAGTGGTTGCGAGAGACTGAGGAGCGGGTGCCCGGGATCCACGCGGAGCGCATGGTGGCCTTGGGCGGCCCATGGTGTATGTCTTTAGCTCGCACGAAACATACGCGCCTGCCATTAAGACACTTAGTGAAACGGCACTTAGTGGCATGTTAAGTGCTGTTTCTGGCCCATGATCGTTTGACGCGTTAAGACGGAGCTTGGGACGTCGGGCACGTCGCTAGGAAGCAACCATTTTGCACACTAAGTGTTACGGGCCCGCCTTGTGACGGGAACAGGAGACATTGGATGGGGCTGGGCCCGCCCTGTGACGGGAATAGAGGGAGGTATCAGATGGGGCCAGACCCGCCCTGTGACGATGAAGGAGACATCAGATGGGCCGAGCCCGCCCTGTGACGGGAACAGAGGGAGACATCAGATGGGGCCAGACCCGCCCTGTGACGATGAAGGAGACATCAGATGGCCCAGGCCCGCCCTGTGACGGGAACAGGAGACATTAAATGGGCCTGCCCTGTGACGATGAAGGAGACATCAGATGGGCCGGGCCCGCCCTGTTACTGGGTAACAGAGGTAGGCTCAGATGGGGCCGAAGACGCCGCCCTGTAATAAAGACAGCAGATGGCAGTGCCCCTCTGTGACTGGAACAGAGGGAGGCATCAGATGGGGCCAGACCCGCCCTGTGGCGATGAAGGAGACATCAGATGGGCCGGGCCCGCCCTGTGACGGGAAGAGACGGCCGCCGGGCCTGCGGGAGGTCGGCGGTCTGCGATTGACGCCAGGGCGCCGCACAGTGGGCCGGGGAACGGAGGTGGGCGGCGTTGAGCTGGGCTGTGGAGGAGGCCCGCGGGTGCTGGCCCGCCGGTGGGGCGGTCAGGGGGGGGGGATGGAAAACATCAGAGGGTGGGGCTCGGACCGCCTTCTCGGGCGATTCATGAGGTGAGACAGTTAAGACCACATCATCATGCAGATCGGCGTAAGTTGCGTGATATATACGTAAATCGAACACAAAAGTTCGGCAGGAAGTGAAACGAGTGGTGAAAGCAGTTGCTTGTAAACAACCAACTTAACAAGGTATTTGTCGCAAAAAGATTAGCTTTTGATGTGAGGGGAAGTCATTTAGTATCTGACCGCACGTGGTTCGTTCTCAGCAGTTGGCCACTGAAAGCGTCGGTAAGGGTCAGTGCGATATATCTGTGGCCGTTGGAAATTCCGTGCCAGAAATAACTATGCAGGCGTGCTATATAAGTTTGCACCCGCCTAATATATGGTAGCTCAGCGTGCGTGCGTTGTGACACGATAAGTTATTCCGGTCTCCATCGCTTTTGATGCACTGTGATACCCATGATGCGCTGCCGTTGGTGTTTGTTGCGCATCAGTGCGCAAAGTGTCTCATTCGAGCGTCCCGTAACAGTCCTGCCGGGGCGGCGTCCGCGTGATGGTGACGGCACGCCACGGGGAACAAGTGCTCCCCAGCCGCCCATCGCCAACAAATGGTGCTTCATTCTGGGGCGCGCGTCCCGGCCGTGGCGGGCGCCGCCGCCGCCGCCGCCGGCGGCGGACTCGGCTGGTCGTGACCGTCGCCGCCCCCGCTGTGCCGCAGGAGCTGAACGAGTGTAAGACGGAGCTGCAGTACTGGCGCTCGCGGTCGGCGCAGGGCTCGGACTGCTGCCAGACGGCGCCGGGCGCGCCGGCGCCGCTGGAGGAGCTCGCCTCGCCGCCGTCGCCGGGCGCGCCGCTGGCGGCCGAGGCGGCGGCCGACGCGCCGCTCAAGTCGCCGCAGCGCTGGGACGCGCTGCCCACGGCCGACGACGAGCCGCGCCACAGCGACGAGTCGGAGACCGAGGGCGAGAACAAGATGGAGACGCGCAGCAAGCGCAAGACCATGGACGGCGACGAGCTGCGCCGAGCGAGGACGCTGAAACCGCGGAAACGGGCGAAAAACTAGCGGCGCTGCCGGCGGTCGGCCGCGGCCACATGAGTTCTCCAAAGGTACAAAGGAAGGAAATCAACAATCACCTCACGTTTTCGCCCGGCGCGCCGCGCCCTCACTGAAAGGTCATACCGGACCCCGCAGGTGCGCCCGTGTTTTTTAATCGTCGTGCGGCTCCGCCTCTCGACCCCTTATCTGCCTCGTCGCCGCGTCATCTAGGTAGACCTCGACTAGTCCTGTACTTGAATGTCACGTAGTAATGCGTTTAGGTTCTTAAATGATAGCGTTTGCGCCTGCGCCGCCCTGGTTTGCCTCTTCTTGCGCGCGTTGCCGCGCAGCTCCGTGACATCGCATCAGTCGCAGTCATCCACGCGCCAAGGAACGCCATTGTGCAACATTGTTGTCGGCGGTGGTGGGCGCACCGTCGTCGGACAGTTTAGTGGGACGGGGTGGGGTGCCTGACTTCGGCGCCGGGCCCACGCGGGCTGGGACGCCCGAGCGACGCCGCGCGCGGACGCGGAGGCGGGTGGCAGGCTGATTACGGCGCGCTGGGCCGCTCTCGGGGGGCATGCAGCTGCTTCGCACCGGGGCGGCGCGCGCTGTCCGCGGCTGCGGTCCGGCACCGCCGGTGGTACGCGGCGAGCCCGCCGGCCGCCGCGGGCGTGTACAATAGTGCTGCGGTGATGGAGGACGCGCCGTGATGGACTCATCTCATAGGTTTGTGGGGTCGCTGGAGCCGAAATAAACGCCGCCATCTGACCGCGCCTTTGAGAGGGAGGCGCGGTGCTGGCGGAGCCGAGGAGCTGGCCGGTCGCGTGCGCCGGCCGCGGGCGGTGGACGCGGCGGTGCGGCGGTGTCGTGCCGGCCGACAGGCGGAACGGCAGCGCCGGCGACGCCAGCAGCTCGGAGAGGAGTCGCGCTGGCAAACTACCCCGCGCCGCACTCAACGGGGTGGCAAGGCCAGCTTGCACGAAATAGACTATGTTTGATACAGGATCACCTGGGCAACACTCGAGCAGACAGACTTCCCCGAGGGCAGTTCCGGCTCTCATATTCTAGATACAATCTATGCCACAAAATTGAAGTGTCGGGAAGAGATAGTCGCTCAAAAGCTCGCGACAGCTTGCAATATATGGGCTCGCCCGTTTCTGATTTGACTTGAACTGACCGGCCTGAACGGTCTCAGTCTGACCCTACCTTACGTTACGTTTTCCACAGCCGGTACTGAAACAGCAACCATTGTAAGGACCGCCTCCACTGGGCCCATTGCATCTACATCAGATCATGCGTTTTGAAAGAAGTACGCTAAAAATAACCTAGCCCTTGCGCTTGAATGGGAAAGTTACGATACGGTTGATCCACGTCCGAGTCATGACTCAGGTTAGGTAAGGTCTTAACGATGTAAATCGCGGCCCAGTCCTGTGAATTGCTTCTCATTCGAGTTAACTGTACTCTGGTATTAGGGCTATGTTATTGACTGCGAGCTTAGTGCAGCTGACTTACTGAGGTTGAGTACAAGTCCAAGCCAGAGCTCGCCGTTTTTCACATTGGTGACTGCGAGTTCAAGTCCGAACCAGCTTTTTCTCGCTCTTCAAATATGGAGTCTGAGGCTGCTCGACGGATTTAGACTCGTGCCCAGGTCCGGCTGCATCAGACACGCGTCAGACGAGAGCGCAGAACACAACAGCAGGGTGTGCTCGCGTCGCCCGCCGGCCGACCGGCACTCAAGTGCGTCCGTGCGTGTGGCGGCACCGGCACCGGAAACAGGGCGGCCTGTGCCCCCGCCACGCCAGCAGAGCCCTGCTCAGCGGCCAACGGTTCCGGTGCGCGAGTCCTCTCCTGTTACAGCTCCTCTCCGGTTACGGTTCCTCTCCGGTTACGGCTCCTCTCCGGTCACAGCTTCTCTCCGGTTACGTCTCCTCTCCTGTCACAGCTCCTCTCTGCTTACGACTCTTCTCCGGTTACAGCTCCTCTCCGGTTACAGCTCATCTCCGGTTACAGCTCCTCTCCGGTCACAGCTCCTCTCCGGTCACAGGTCCTCTCCGGTTACGGCTCCTCTCTGGTTACAGCTCCTCTGGTTACGGCTCCTCTCCGGTTACAGCTCCTCTCCGGTTACAGCTCATCTCCGGTTACAGCTCCTCTCCGGTCACAGCTCCTCTCCAGTTACGGCTCCTCTCCGGTCACAGCTCCTCTCCGGTTACAGCTCCTCTCCGGTTACAGCTCCTCTCCGGTTACCGCTCCTCTCCGATTACAGCTCCTCTCCGGTCACAGCTCCTCTCCAGTTACGGCTCCTCTCCGGTCACAGCTCCTCTCAGGTCACGGCTCCTCCCCGGTTACGGCTCCTCTCCGGTTACAGCTCCTCTCCGGTTACGGCTACTCTCCGGTCACAGCTCCTCTCCAGTTACGGCTCCTCTCCGGTCACAGCTCCTCTCCGGTTACAGCTCATCTCCGGTTACAGCTCCTCTCCGGTCACAGCTCCTCTCCAGTTACGGCTCCTCTCCGGTCACAGCTCCTCTCCGGTTACCGCTCCTCTCCGGTTACAGCTCCTCTCCGGTTACCGCTCCTCTCCGATTACAGCTCCTCTCCGATTACAGCTCCTCTCCAGTTACGGCTCCTCTCCGGTCACAGCTCCTCTCAGGTCACGGCTCCTCCCCGGTTACGGCTCCTCTCCGGTTACGGCTCCTCTCCAGCCACGGCTCCTCTCCGGTCACGGCTCCTCTCCGGTCACGGCTCCTCTCCGGTTACGGCTCCTCTCCAGCTACGGCTCTCCGGTTACGGCTCGTCTCCGGTCGCGACTCCTCCCCGGCGCGCGACCTCTCTCCGGTCGCGAGCGGCGTGACCGCGGAGTACGGCGGCGGCGGCGCCATTGATTTTGCTTGATCGGTTGGTCACGTCCTGCGATCGGTCCGCCGGCGCAAGCTTACTCGTCCAACTGGTAGAGCTCCCAGATCTCAAGATGATTTAATCATTAATATCAGGTCACACCAGGTCAATTAAAATCAATAGCACATAGCAGTGTTGTGCAAGCTTAAGTTTGAATGCTTGCCAAGCCCGTGACGTTTTGTGTTTCTGTTTATTGCACGGCCGGTTGCCTTATCTTACCAGCAAGCAAACAAGCCTCAGGAGGGTTAGCTCACATACGTGAAGTTTGGTCATGTAAGGTGAAGTGAAGCCCCTTTATTTGCTGATAAGGGATAACAAGTGTTGACCACTGCATTGGTCCGTGCTGACCCACATTGCAAAGTCAGTTTGATATAAGTTAGGTCTGACTCCCCGACGCATGAAGTGCGGATTGCACTGTTTGGAAAGTGTAGTGTCATATGTTTGTAACTGCCAACAAAAGGCTTTGTGAGGAATGGGAGGAGCGAGGCGGCGTCAGACAGTTATGAATCGCCAGCACGCAGATTATGCCAAAAACTAAGGTAGGTAAGCCAACACCGTCAGCAACCCACGTGAATTGATTATCAGTTCGTTGGAACGTCCGTCTATGGGAGCTGTAACGGGCCGGGTTAAGTGATGTGCATCTCACTAACTTTCTAGTCAGTGTAAACAACTTGAGGAAATTTGCGGTTGCTCGCTAATTTAAAAACAACATTGGAAATGCACGGCTGTGAGACTGTCCAAGTCCAGCCATGTTATTCGGCGAAATCGGTGAACCTTAATGGTTCGCGGTTTTGGCAACTCTGGTCAAAGCATCATTCAAGACACTTGCGTCGTGGGTGAGTACTGACCACAAAGACGGTACCAATCTCTCATGGCGTTGTCCACAGTGTGCCGTTTTCGAGATTGGTTTCGGAAAATGTCACGCTGGTCGCTTCTCGGTGGACTGCCGGCGCCGCTGTGGTTCTGGTAGTTTACAGACCTGCTACTGATTTACATTTGGTATATTCGCTTGTACCTTGAATTCAACCTCTTTTGGTCATCTGCTCTGGCTACTGCGATGTTAAAGCTTACCTTCAAATGCCCAAAATTGTGTGGATATGTGGTTTGCAAAGTTGCAAACCAGAGCGTGTGGCCGTCCGCAAACATTAAACCACGCTTTTGTCCTTATAATGTGCCGTTTTCCGTTTATCAGAAAATGTCTTCTTCGGAACACTTCAGCCTCTTGTCACTGCAACCCCGGATTGACGAGACATTGATTCGGCTTCGATTGTTGTTCATTAGCTTTCTTGCAGCTGAAAAACTGTTCTCTTCAATGTCAACCGAATGGAGACATTTTTATATTTTCGAGTTACATTTTTAAGCAAATTTTTAAGTTCCTGGAAAAGATCGCTTGATAAAACAGCTTGCAAATGTCTGGCGATGTATATGACACAGCTTGAACCCTCGCCTTAATAGGGTCGATGTCTCTCTCCTCCCTCGAGACTTTCTGTGGATATCTCTCCGGCATACAGTGCAATCGCACTTAAATTTGTGATACCCTTTGGGATACTCATCGCTCACGTTTTGCCACCAAACACGTCCCTCTATCCTTTTGGTTTCCGAGGAGTGGCGTTTTTTAGGAGCACTGCTTGGCGATCCACGGCCGGCGTGGGCAGCGGGAGTCGACGAACGAGTCCATCGTTGGCGTGCCGCGGTTCGACGCTGAACATTCACGGAGCGCTACATCATGAGCGTCACCTCAAAACACGTAAAAATTCATATCGGTATTCTCCAAATAAAACAAAAGTAACTAACCTGCGTAAGTGTCGTGTCACTATGGTTTCGCAATTATGGGTGTGTAAAGCTGAAAAGCGATTTTCTGGGAAAAATTACTTTTGACCTAGCATAATGGGGTAAGCCGATCATCCAGCAACACACAACATATTTCCAATCGCGAAATGTCGTCCAAACCAACACACCGGTGTTTTCCGCGAGGCCCTGTTGTTCTTAGTTCGGTTACGGCACGGGCTCAATCGATCCTCTCCCCCTGTTAGTCCGCTTTGTGAGAAAGGGGCATCCAGACGAGGGTTTACTTACTGTGCTTATTTTGGACAAATGATCTGTGAACTTTTGAAGAGTAGTTGCAAATCTATTAACTCCCAAACAAGGTACCTGCGAGGGCGGGCCGGGTCACGTTTCCTTATAGTTCCAGTCGGATAACTCGACCATCCTCGCAACCAGTGATATGAGGATAGCCAAATCAACAGACGTGTAGATCAGCGTCGTTCACCAGCCGGACATTAGTGACAGCAATGCTGAATAGGGACTGCTCACGCCGGCCTCAACGGAATCGCATCAATCTACGACCTTCTGCAGGCGGCCACCAAGTTCTTTTATACTGATAAAACTACAAGAAGCTGACAGTCTTGTACACCGTCGCAAACGGCGTGGAGAGGCAAATGGAACAAATTTCCCAAGTTGCGAAATGTAATATTGCGTCAATGACGCCCTGGCACTCAATCATATGTGCGGCGCGTCCTCGCATGGCAACGCACGGCACGTCGTCTCACGGCAACGCACGGCACGTCATCTCACGGCAACGCACGGTACGCCGTCGCACGGCAACGCATGACACGTCGCATGGCAACGCACGGCAGCGCTTAAGAGAGCCGTTCATGGCTTTTTTTCTACGCACGGTAATATATAGACTCGTCTAGTCTTGGTACTGAATTCGCATTAGATCTTTTGTACCCGGCCACCGAGGTCTTTTCTACCGATAACCAACAAGGAGCTGGCGTTCATGGACTCCGCCACAGACGAAGGGGGGGGGGGAGTAAATGGAACCAATTTTCAAATTTTTGTAAAATTTAGCATTGGCTAATGACGTTCTATGAAAA